ACGCCACGCCCCCTCTTTCTAATATTTTGGGGTCATGGGCACGCAAAAATTTTGGGACACGAGAGTAATTAGAAACGTGACTACTGAAAAGAAGAAGAAGAAGAGCTGCTTTGAGCTGTTTTTGATGGCTTGCCTTTCTTCATTCTATGTTTGTTTGAGTCCAAGAATTGGAAAGAATTTTCGGAACGCCTGATACATAAGAAATCCCATACAATTTCTGCATGAAAATACTAAAAATGCTTTAGGCAGTTTCAAAGTGGTGGTCCGAACTCAAGAAGCTAAATGCAGCTTTTGAACAGACCCTGAATACATACTACGACCACTTGGGAATCCGTTCTTTTGCTAAGGTAAATGGCAAAACACCATACACTTTTGCATAAAGTTTTCTGTTTAGATAGCATCGGATTTGACAACGGAAGTTGGCTGCGCTTACGCCACATGTGATGGTGGAAATACAAACGTTGTCTGTTATTATACAACGTAAGTGGTTCAATAATCTGACCCTCCTTCAACCAAGAAATTTTAGCACATTGGCAAATGCAAAGAAACTTTACACAATGGGACCAACATGCAAACAATGTGCCGGAGGTGTGGATACCTGCATGAATGGATTGTGTCCAGTCAATGTGACAGTGACAGTGACAGCATAATGCAGTAGTTGTTTTTTGACCTTTCTATTTGGAGAATAAAAGCAGTTTACGATAGCTGTGCGTTCCATCAGATTAATAAGCACCCTTCACACAACTCCATCGAATTGCCGTAAATGCAGTAAGCCGAAAAGCCGATACTGGCAAAAAGCCGCTTCATCTTAATTATACTGCAAAAAAGAAGTAAATTTTTCTTGTGATGAGATCAAATCAGACACTGAAATAAGTTGACTGAATGCTTTTCTCAAACAATCAGCCCTATTATCAGGCTGTTACATAAGTCTTGTTACACTTTGATTTCTTACGGCGAAGAATAGCACACTTTGCCTCAGAGTACCACTCGAAAGAGCAAAACAAGCTCCTACAAGACGATGCAGATGTTCGCACCAGTTCGACCCACTGTAAGTTTGCATCCAGAATTTAAGTCAGGGCTCAGTTGAGGTGGCACTTCCACACATTAGATGTCGGTTTTTAGGAAAAGCAAAAGGGATTCGATAAAGTTTCCAAGGGAGATTTCCGGAGATATAACTAAATATCGAAACCAGCTCTAACTCTTAACATGGCCGAATTTGAATTTTCGATTCAAATTTACCAGTTACAGGTAAATTAACACGTCACACACGACTAGTGCGTAAACCTGTGTGCGCACAATTTCATTGCGCCAAGACACAATCTAATAAGGGAAGGATACTAACTTACGTTAGATTCGTCTCTTGAAATGAGACACATATATTTAGAATCAGTTTTGAACGCTGATT